AGTTACCTATTTAGTATGGATTCCTAACTTTATATATATGGGATGAAAGTGCAGAAAATTCGTGTGCTTGTTTGAGTCACCATATGGGAATGGTGGTTCCTCTAGAGAGAGAGAGAAACGAGAGTCTTTTGTGCATAAGATGCAATTTCCTCTTAGAGAGAAACTAGCTTCATATGAACAGAAAAATTGAAGAGAAACATTGATGATGCCTCTTGAAAACTCATGCAGAGTGAGAGGTTAGTTTCTTGCCGAGAAGTGGTTCCCATGGAGATTTTGAGTTGTTTCCCTTTTTAGTGAGATAAAGGATCATTTGCTCTCAAAGTTGTTATCTTCCTAGTCAGTGGTTAATTAGAGAATAAAGATGAGATATCAGCATGGTGCCGTTTGGGAGAGCACGTTTAAAAGGGTTTTGCTGGATTTAGGTTTTTGTTTAGGTTTGTTCCAAATCTTTGTTTGTAACTATCATCGGTATAGTGGATTTTTGTTTGTCGTACTCGTAGATATAGCCCTTCTAAGGTGAACCACGTAAATCTTAAAGTTTTTGTTGTATATATTTCATTATTTATTTCTCATACTTTATTTGTCAAATATTAAATCATCGAGTTTAGAGCTTCCGACCACAACAAGTGGTATCAGAGCACAACACCCTCGACTGCTCGTTGGCGACTCAGGTTGCAATATATCTGTGCATAGAGTAAAAAATGATTGAATGCATAACAAATGAAGGAACTTTATGTTGGAGAGATTTTATATCTGACTTAAGGGGTACTTTGGTAGGATAGTCCTGAGTCCATGCTGAGAGCCCCATGTATCAAAATATAAACAAATTCAAACTATTATGCTTCCTTTCATGTAGGAACATAAAGCTCTAAATTGGAGGAAGTGATACATGTTAGCGTATGGATATCTTGTTAATATTGATATACATCATTATGAATACATATCAATATAGATATATATTTGTATGGGTATATATATCTCTTAATTAGGTGTCTTCTTGATTATGATAAGATTAATTAGTAATTATTCATAACCGTTGGTATTTATCTTCAATTGTTACTGGATGTATATTTATACGGGTCTTGAATATTATTGATTAATCAATTAATAAAGAGATAGTTCTCTACAATATTTTGAGTTTCTAATATGGTATCAGAGCTCTAGACTCTTCAACCTAAGATCTGGGCTCGCCGACCTCAGATATGAGGTCGCCAACCTTAGATCTGAAGTCGAGAAATTTTCTGATATTGTGTTTCCAAAAAGCCACCTGCTCTCATCATTGTTTTGCATCAACTTGCATTGCTTAATCTCGTCACCGTTTTGCATCAAATTGTATTGCTAGCTCTCGCCCTTGTTTGGCCCAACGCTACATTAGCAATCTAATCCCCTCCTTCCCAAAGCAACACAAGAGAGCTTGCACCATCTATATAAAAAACATTTGCTTCCGTTCAATATGCATTTTGTTCCCTTTTACTTTGAATGTGCTTTGCATAAGAAATGCATTTGATTCCCCATTGGCTTTGAGGGGTTTGAGAAGCTGCTTGAGATCATATTTTCTTGGAAACCCCGGTCTTTACTGAACCCAAGGGGCTTGGCCTTCGCGCCCTATCTTGCGCACAAATCGAAGAGATCCTTGACTCTACACGGTGCACAGTTGTCGACTCTGTCTCTAATGAATTCCTCGACTCCTATGTCCTCTCAGAGTCAAGCCTCTTTGTTTACCCCAACAAAGTCATACTCAAAACTTGTGGGACAACCAAATTTTTTCTATCTATCCCTTCGATCCTAAAGCACAAAGTCTTCGGCTCTCCTCTTCATCCAAAAACTTCAGCTCTCATCTTCGTCCATGATTGACACAATCAACACTCTCAGTTTAGTGACAGAAACTCATATACCAAGGAAGCATTGTCAAAGGCCTCCGAGTCGTATTTCAACTCTCTGTTAAATCTATTTCGACTCTCTGCCTAGTCTGTTTCGACTCTATGCAAAACAAACTTTGTCTCTGTTCTGACATGTGTTCTGGATTGCGAGTTGCTAAATATGTCTCGGACGGTGAGTTGTTGAATCTGTATCAGATTGAAGTTGCTGAATTTGTCTCGAATCCACACCAAGTTCTATTGGCTCTTCCACAGTGCCATTCTGTGCTTGTTGTTCAAGCAATAGACCACTGCTTCTATTGGTCTTGCCATGCACGTGAAGACTTAATTATGCAACTTATTGTGCAAACTCCATCTACTTTGTCAAAAAGCATCTTGAGTTTTAGGGGGGGTGTTAGCATATGGATATCTTATTAGTATTGATATACATCATTATGAACATATATCAATATGGATATATATCATCTGTATGGGTATATACCTCTTAATTAGGTGTATCTTGATTATGATAAGATTAGTTAGCAATTATCCATAACTGTTGGTATTTATCTTTAATTGTTACTGGCCATATATTTATAAGGGTCTTGTATATTTTTTATTAATCAATTAATAAATAGATAATTCTCTATAGTATTTTGAGTTTCTAATAATACATAATACCCCGATTCCCTTAGTAATTACCATTACTGCATTAGGATCTTCTAAAATAGGAAGAAAAAAACTGAAAGTTTCATGACTCGACTTTGAGGCGCCGTTCACCAAGAGAGATAAAATCGTTCGTCCAAAGGAAGGAAGAGCAAAATGAGAAGGTAGATTGAATATTCTTTTCACCTTTCAATATAAGTTTTATTCTTCCCTGTGTAGAATATAGAGAATCAAAGGTATTTCCTTTGAGATATAGCATCAAGAAGCATGTAACTCCATATCATGAATATACACTCCTAAAAGGGGAGAATTCTTTGCTTGTTTTGAATTTATTTCATCATCTTCTAAAAGGATCACAAAGTTTGCCAGTACTTACATATAACTTAATACTTTTACTTACCCTTTAACAAATTCATCAGAAAATATGCATATATTATTCCCTTTTTAGTGTCAGATTCTTTTGATGAACTTTGAATATACTCATTTGAAACCAGAATGTATACATTTGCTTCTTCCTTTGTCAAAGAGCTTTACTAAATTTTTATTAGTAATAAACATAATTCTTTAGGGAACAAATTAGAAACAAGACTGAAAAAATTAACCAACAAATCCGATCATCTTACAGCTTGTTCTGCCATCTCCTCTGCTTCCCTATACACATGCTCAAAAGACAAAGTTATTCCCTTAAGAACTGCCACCATCTTGACCTCATCAGCAGAAGCATGAACCCCATGAACTAGAATATGCCACTAAATAATTTCCTAAATGATCCATAATGATATCACCATATCTTGGATCAAAGTTTCTAAAGAACTTCCATCAAAATTCAACTTGATTTGACTAAAGGGGTTCAGTATCTCATCGGTCTTCTTCTACTAGATGCCATTCGCACCACTTAATGGATATTAATAAATAAATCAAGATTTGATATACCCCAACATCCCTTTACGTATTCTACCCAACTTATCATAGTTAGCAATGATCCACTTATTGACTGATGCAATGTATAAAGATTTTGTCCACTACCAATTTACTGTTGCTAGGCATTTTACCAATATGGAAAGACTAGCATTTCATCAATGCCATAAAACTTCATCATAGGGACTCGATCTCACACTTATTAAAAAATATTTTTAATAATACCCTTATACAAGGTCGGAAACTTCAAACAATAGGCATTACCGTAATTTACCCTTCAAGCACAAACAATAATACTTTTGTCATATGGTTGGAGTCTCTAATCAAATTATTAAGGAAAATTAGACAATGAGATTATTTTCTTTTAATACAAGGTGGTCACAATTAATCTTGACCATTGGATGTGAAATTGAGTGGCTACATGTAGTCCATTGACCAAGCTCAAAGTTCAAAAGAAATTTTCTCGAACTTTGTGACACATCTAAGCCATCCAATTTCACATCGGATGGTTATAAGTAATTGTGATCTCCTTGTACCAAAGATAAATTGACTTATTGTATATAAATCCAATTATTAAAAAGAAAAGCTTTATATGATTCCCTAAAACTTATATACTTCCCCCTATCCAACCGTCTATTCTGAATAGACAGTTGAGATGGCTCCATTCACAATGTCATGATTGTACACTACTTTATTTTTATTTTTTTATAAAATATTTTTACACGAAATTTGGGTGTCCACTCCTCTCTTAAACTCGCACCGATAAAAAACACAAAAAATATTATCAATAAATAAAATGACTAAAGTACCCCTAAGGGGTATTTCGGTCATTATATTCTATCGAAAAATTCTTTTTAATATTGTTTTTAGGTGCACCCCATTGAGATGATGACATGCACCAAATTTCACATTCATATAATTTGTAAAAAAATTAAAAATACAGTACTCTAAGATGTCGGATCTAAATCAAACAGTCCATGGCTCACTTGAACTAAATTGGATGGCTAGATGGAGACAATATATATCTTCTATGCGGCGAAGTATAGAAATACCCCATGTTTATTCACATTTTGAATATAGGTAAAGTAAGTATTCCTAAGATGGGAAAAGTTTATATAAGGTTGCAACCTTAAAATGTAGAATTATAGATGCATCTCAAAAATCCATCGGAAAAGATTGTTGTAATGTTGAAAGACCCTCTAATTGATCATCTCGACATCGAGATGTATAAATGTGTAAAAAAAAATTTTTTGAGTCCCAAAAATAGTGCATCTTGCAACACATTATCTAAACCGTCTATTTTTAAGATTTTCACATGTTTATAGATCTACATGATTTTAACTATTTTTGGAGTTTAAAATTTTATAATTAGATATGAAAATACATTTATAGATAATCCTAAGATATTTTTATGGGGTACTTAGAGTGAAATAAAAATTCAAAAACAAAGCCTCTAATGTTGATTGGGAGGTTGTTTTTCGAACCTCTTTGATGATTTTCCGGGGATTTTAACTAACTCCCTTGCCATGATGGTTCTCCCTAGAACGGGCCCAATAAAATCCCAGGATATAGCCCGAGGGTCTCTCCCGCCTCAATTTCAAAGCAATGAAGACCAGTGGCTACAATTCAAGGATTATAATGGGGTATGACCCACTTATTATCCTCTACTTTTACTCGGAGCAGGCAAGCTACTGAGAGAGAGCAAACTGGGAGCTCAAACATGGAAATTCCCCTTCTCTCTCAACGCATTTCGGCCCCCTTCGGCTCCATATCCCAACTCTCTTCTCTCTCCACTCTTCCTGGTAAAAACCCCTGATAACAAACCACCCACCATCTCTCGCACCCATGTCTTTCTGCTTTTTGATGTTTTCTACAATGAAATAAGAAACCCGTGTAATGCACAGGTAAAAGGCTTCTTCATTTGAGAAATCAGAGATTATCAGTTAGCTGTTGCGCCTCCGCCATTCCTCCACAGTTTGAGGCAGTGGATTCATCACTAAATGATAATTATGAGTTTGATGGGAGGAGACAGTTGATGGGGTTCTTTCTTGTAGCAGGTTGGTTTTCATTTTCTTAGTTTTTCAATGCATTTACTTTGATAACCACGGTGTTTTGCATTTATAAAGAAGTTTGATTATTCAATTGACTGGTTATGCACTTCCATTACCTGATGAAGTGCTATTTTCTTGGTATACATGACCATAAGATTTTATTTGGATCTATATTTGAACCCTCATAATCTAGGGCTGCAAATTACTCTGTTTCTAATTACTGTGTTTCACATGAAACTTTGTGGTGCATGCCCATATGAATTTGTATCATGTTTTTATATGAATTCATGCTTTTTTATTGTTATTAATGCTCCCTACACATCATCCTTTTAATTTTTTTTAGTAGCATTTTCATTTTTCAAGCTCCTTTATGTCTGGCCCCTCAGGTTGCCAAAAATCACTTCTTAAGATGGGAGCTGGGGTCATCTCTACTTAGGCCAGATGAGGAGCATCTTGAGCAATTTCATGGCCTAACATTTCCTTATTCAGTTTTATTTTTATTTCTGAGGATTTTATGATTTTTATGTGTTTTTGAGAGGCGGTTTGTTGTTTTGTGTTATGGCAGCTACTGCCTTTTCGCTCTCTGACATGGCCGGGGCTGTTTCAACAAGTAGAAGAGCGGCAAGTCCTATTTGAATTCGATTTGACAGGGTGTAACTTTTCTTGGAACTTTAGAAATTCACATTTGATCCTTATGAAAATATTATGGTTGGTTTTTGCAGCTTAGAGGAGCGAAGATACCTGAAAGTGAATACACGACACTTCCAAATGGACTTAAGTTAGTTTCCCAATCCTACGAAGAGGATTTTTCTTGAATGGTACTTTGAATTTGTAATTCAGGGTTTAGTGCATCAGAATTCCGCATTGACCAAGGTGTTGCTATGATTGGACTTGGCATCAACACTAATGTCATGTATATAACCAGAAGCGACATATTCTGATGTGTAAATTGTCACCATTCTAAATTGTTACAAAAGATCATATTGACTCAGCATACTCTTATAGCATTGTTCTTGTTGCTGCTCCTAGTCACATGAGTTCTTATTGGTTAATTCAGCTCGTTGGTGTAAATTGTAAATCATTTCTAAGTGGCTTCAAACAGCTAAGTTTATCACTGTTCACATTGATCTTGAGGATTTTTCTATTCAATTTCCCACCTTTTTACTTAATTTTTAAGGTCTTGTAGGAGCACTCATCATTCCCTTCTGCTTCTAGCAACCAGTTATTTACACCTTCTGCATTTCATATGTCTGCGGCATCTTCATCTTGGTCTTTATCTCTTTTTAAATGTTTTATGCATGAGCTACAAAGTTTCTAAATTGTCCGATGCACAGGTTCACTTCTTCTGCGTCAAGGTTTTCTTATCTTCGTAATAATTTGATAAAGCAAAGATCTTACTCTTGTGAATAACAAACTAGTGGTATTTTTTTTAACAAGGTACTATGATGTGAAAGTCGGAGGTGGACCTAAAGCTGTGAAGGGATCACGTGTTGCAGTCTGTTCCATCCTGTGGTTTGGGTTATTTTTTCTTGCATAGTTTCACATCAATTTCATGGTTTTTTCTGATGTTTCCTTCTGGAAGTTTTTAAGTTCCATATAATGATAATGCAAACTTGTCCTTTAGGTTCACTATGTTGCCAAATGGAAGGGCATTACCTTTATGACTAGTAGACAAGGTCTTGGTGTTAGTGGCGGAACTGTAAGTTTGTAGTGCCATTCTTATTTAATCCTTTAGTCTCTCTTGAATTCATTTATTAACCTCTGATTGTCTAGATAAGACAATCACATTTTCAGATTTTTTCGTAGTACTGGTACACCAATTGTAAGAAATCACATGCTTTTGGTTTTCTCCAAGTTTCCAAACTTGGGCAATCGAAATTCAATGTGGGCAGTGTGCTTATGCAGTGCTCAGGAAACAAGTTTTTTATTTAAAATTAACCAGCGCAAGTCAATTTTTGATAGGTTGGTAACTCTTACTTATATCTTAGCATTCAAAAAGAGGACTTGTTACTGTGATATGAATGCATATTAGTATCTTGAAGCATCTCTTTTTTTTTTTTACTGCTGCCCAGCTCAATGTAATCTTAATGGTTTCCACTGCAGCCTTATGGATTTGATGTTGGGCAATCTGTAAATGGATCTGTCCTTAAAGGATTAGATCTTGGGGTTGAAGGCATGCGAGTTGGAGGGCAGGTAAGTAATTTATCTTTTGGCTTATAACTCAATTGTGGTACACAGACAGATATCTAATAGCGTTCATTTCTATTCTTCTATAACCAATGACTGTAATGCAATCTTGTGTATTTCTTTAATTGTTACTTTCGTTCAAATAAATATGAGTCTTGTATACATATACGTCTACCATCCATTTATCTACATACACCTCTCTGTGGACTTCATGCATTCTTTTGATACAGTAACATGCATAGTGGATTGTTGAGATATATGCTACAAGGTGTGCCTTTTATATCATTATATGTACATTTGTCATTGGTTTGATCTTTGATAGGATATATGAGTTGGGCTGTTTTTCAGGTGGTGCTGGTCACATTGCACTTATGGGTGCCGTAGATATTTCATTATCAATAGTTTAGTATAGATATACTCAAATATATGACTATATATCTATTGCCGACAGATAAAGAACTAGGTATCTCTGTGTAAATTGTTCCATCTTGAATTTCCTCGAGCCATTTCTACTTTTCGTTTCTTAAAAGCGAACAGATATAAAAATATGTCAAAACCTGAAGTTATATTCAAATGTGACACCTCCGAAAATCTCATGGATTTTAAACTCAGTAACAAGAAGTGATTACGTTATGCCAGTATTTTGCATGGCTATTCTGAATTAAATTGGTATAATTTTCTTGAGGGAGTGGTGATGTATCAGAAGAACTAAAACCATAGTTCCTTTGAAATTTTTAAGTTTTTTAAAACTTTTAAGTTGTCTAGCTTAGTTTAGCCCATTGGGTTATTCCTATGTTTGCATTGCTGAATTCTGCCAGATGTTGCTTAACTTGTTTGTGCAGAGACTGCTAATTGTCCCCCCAGAGCTTGCTTATGGAAGTAAAGGAATCCAAGAAATTCCTCCGAATGCAACACTCGAGGTAGAAGTGTATCTCATTTGCAATTTGCTTCTTTCTTCGTGTGGAATACATTCATTTGCATGTTTTTATCTTTGTAAAAAAGAACTTGTAGTATATGCACAAATGGGTAGAGGCCAACTACATGACGACGACTACAAGAAGCAAAGCTTCGTAGATTAGGATTAAGGTGACAATGGGAGAGGTGGTATGATTAGGATTAGCTTCAGCGGTATTAATATCCCATTTTTTGCATTATCTTAGTTAAAAGGAACGAGCATGTTCTGATAAACATGGTTTGCCCTATAGACACATTGTACTGAGTAGAAACGAAAAGCAATCCACGAAAAACAAGAAAGAAGAAAAAACATAAAAGAAAGAGACAACCAACCACAATGCAAAAATATATGTGGTTCGGTAACGTGCCTACGTCTACGGGAGATTAGAGCTTATTTATTGACAATGGAGAATAGGGTTACAATTATCTCTCTTCCTCACGCCTCTGTTTTTATCTAATTACAAAGAGATCTGCATTTTTCCCTTAACCCCCCTACGGGGTATATATAGTCCCCAACCCCCCTACGGGCTTTTGGCCCTTCGGACTTTTAATGGCCTTCCGGAGTCATCTTTTTGACTCCACCTTGACAGATCTATTTCCTCATAATACAAGACATCAATCCTCAACATAATGGAACTTGAGTAATTTTGTCATGCGTCAAAAAAACATTCTACTGCCGATTGTAAGAAAATTATATTATGTTACTATATATTAATCCACAAGAGTAAAACTTATGGCTTTGATGGTTCTCTATTCATCTACTGCTGTTATTTTGATGTCTGGATTCTAAATTATGTTGCTTCTATTTGTTTATATCAAGTTTTTTCTAGAAATTATGACAATACTTTTGTTGATAGTATGTTTTTACATTGAATTAAAGAATCATTTCTGCTGTTGCAATATGCAGTTGGATGTGGAACTACTTGCTATCAAACAAAATCCATTTGGGTACCTGAAGCTCTTTTGTTTTGCATTTTCATTCATTTTCACGTCTTCGATTTTCATTAGATGGAAAGTAAATAACTTCCGATTTTTTCATTCTTTTGCTGATGGTAGAGGAGATATGTTTGGGTTTGACTTTTGTTTGAATGGGCCCTTTTTGCTGCAGGTCTGCTGTGAAACTTGTAGAAGGATGAACAGTAATGTCTTACATCCAACAGATTCTAAGATAGCACAGCCTCCATCTGACATGATGAATTGTTTCATATTATTGGAGATGATTGGTTTGTCAGTTAATTTCTCCATCAAAAATTTTGAGAGTTAAAAGAGAGCTTCCTGTATTCATCTCAAGATCAGCCCCTAGAATATGCATAACAAATCACACATACAATCTATACATGGAAAACTTTATTGTGGTAATTTTGATTCCTTGCTCACCATAGACCTCATTTGGGTGCTTCCTTAAATATATTGATGAATGGAAACATAATTGTGGGAGAACGTTTTTCTGTTTTATTGTTAAACTGGCAGGGGCGCATTTTCAGTGACTTTCAAATAAGCCAGTCCATGAAACCAGCCTTGTGAATATTTATGAGTAATCATAAACAATCATGGATAGGTGGGGATTGAACTAAATTATTTACAAATAAAAGACATTATTTATGAATGACTAATTTTCCCTAAGTGACCTAAACATTTTCATTGCATACTTAATTTCATCATTTGATAGATTCCAAATTGTTATTCTCTGAATAGAGCTTGGTACTATGTTTTTGTGAGTTAATGTATGAGATGTAACTGTTATGTTAGCACCCATTGTGTTGTAGGCTTAGTTACGACTAGTTGAAAACTTAAATGAGATTTACCTGAACAGTTAACCAGACATGGGGTCGGAAGTGGTTCAACTGGCCTAACTGGCCAAGTCCCGGGCGGTCAAAAGTGTTAAAGAAAATAAAAAAAAATCTAATAAAATATAAAAATATCTTTAAAACATGATTAAATAAAACACATCCAAATGAAGTTGAAAATTAATAAAAATAAATAAATTTTAAAGAATCTATTTTTGTCGAGGGGTATTTTTGAAATTTTTCAAAAAAGATGAAAAATGTAAAAATAAGTATTGATGGCCAAAAATTACCAAAATGATGGAAAATATTAAAAAATATATGTTACAAACAAAATCCCTTATTTTTTAAAAAAATTTATATAATTTTTTTGAATTTTTTTTAAAATACTTGGGAAGTTCACCAAAACGGATTGAAATTAGAACCGGCCATGAAATTTGAACCACCCGATTTTTCCTACACTAGATTCAATAACTGTTGAGTAATTTTTCTTTTTTCTTTTTTTTTTTAGAAGTCGTAAGCTAAAATTATAGATGTACATTTGACACCATCTTATACCATCTGAAAATACAAAAAAGATATTTTTGAAAAATTTAAAATGACCAAATTATCCTAATCATGTTCCAATGATAGTCTGATCATTTTAAGTTTTAGGAAATATTTGTTTCATATTTTTTTACTCACTAATACATAGTAAATTTCGTCTTTGTCATATTTATATAAAAATATAAAATTCAAGTAAACATATGTTTTCAACCATTCGATCAAAGATTTGATAGTTAGGAGCATACCCTATATTACTTTCATTTTAGATAACCAATTTGAGTTGGTTAAGTCCACATTTGCAGCTCATTAGAACCATCCATTTCAAAGTTCATAAATTTACTTGATCTAAAATATTTTTGGAGCTTTAAATTTCAAAATTAGGAACAAAAATTGATTTTTAGGCCATTGTAAGAGTTTATAATGGAACTGCCTCTTTTAGTGGTAGGCCTTATTTTGATTGTTTCTTTTGGCAAAATTTAGTAGTAGGCCTTACTTATGATTGTTTAAGGTTGACACACCTTATACAAACCACTTTCTTTCCTCTTAACCATCTAATAATAACTCGAGAAAAGTGTTTAGATTAACTTCCGATGACCACTCATTTTCTCCGGCCATCTTAAGCTCCCTGATCCGCTTTGGCATTTCCTTGCTCTCTTCCCCACCCATCAGCCTACACACCAGCCTAGAAATTTCTCCTCTTTTTATTCATTGGCCCACTCCTAACCTTCCAATCATCTAAAATTAGCGTACCGTTGGTTTGTTGGTCAAAATACATGGGAAAGGTAAGCATTGGTACACCAGCAAATATACCTTCAATGGTAGACAATGAGTAAAGAAGCCTCCTATAGATGGATGCCTCAAAACCTTAGATTGAGAACACCAAGGAACCACTAAGCCCTTATTCATGCATACATCTCTCAAATGTGGATCAAGGTCCTTGGCCACCCAAATGAATGGTATTCTACTCTCATATAGTCCACAAGCCAGCTCCCCCATTTGTATTTTAGAGAGAGACAAGACACTGTAGAGAGTGGAGCAATCGGGTTGGATTTGAGCCATAAAGAGCAGTCTGTCTCCCGCCCGGGACTGGTCTTGAAATCTTGATCGTTGGATGTCAGAGAAGAGATTAGGGAACCAATAGGGAGTATTGGACATGAGACTGATGAAACTAGTGCATCAATGGTTGCTTGCTCAAGCTTGTAGAGGGAGTTGAGAAGAATGCAATTGGGTTTTGGGATTTGTTGGAAGCACTTCAGAAACCTGTTTGCGCCCCCCCCCCCCCCGACACATGCTTGGGAGGTCCAGAATCCGAGTTGACGAGACACCAGGGAGAGAGTAGAGTCGATGTACTCTTCCTGAAATTGAGAAACAAATAAGTTTAATCTTTTCTTCATTCACTTCAAACTCATTATTCAGTCAATGCATTTTCATTTAAGAAGAAAAATGAAAAATACAAGGCTACCCTTTCACCTTTTGGCCGTATTTCTTCTTTCCGTTTTAGTGAATAACCCAAGGTAATCAGAATTGAGTAGAAACACATCTGCTTCTTGTTAGACGTGTCGCTATTTTAGCAGCATTATTACATTCAACAGAGGCTCTACTGTGACTGGTGGCAGACATTCACGCTCCTACCTGGTGAATGGAGAGAAGATAACTAAAATATGGTCCCCCCAAATGGGGCCCTAGAGTTCAATATCTCCTAAGTCCCAACCCTTAAAATGCCGGTCTCCAGTTAAATGTCCCGGTTCTCACTCACTATCATCACAAGTCAAGTTTTTCAAGTGGCTAAGGTACAAAGTTCCTTGCTTTTATATATATATATATATATATATATATATATATATATATATATAT